CAGAAACTACAGCCCAGTCCTGGAAGTGATTTCTCCCTTCAGCAGCCTAGAAATTTCTGAAATTTCTGAAATTCAAGAAATAATACCACAGGAAGCTTGTGTTGGGTTTCCTCCTAATTCTTTTAAGGGTCCTCAGTAGACAGATAGATAGATGGATGAATGGTTGGTTGGATGGATAGATAGATAGATAGATAGATGGATAGATGGATAGATACCAAGATGGATGATAGGTAGATAGATAGATAGATACAGACAGAGAGAGAAAGTGTTTATTAAGCTCTTACTATATACCAGACACTGTACTAAGCATCAGGGATACAATTACAAACACGCAAGACCAACCATCTCCTCAAGGAGCTTACATTCTAATGGGTGAAAACAACACTTAAAGGGGAACCAGAAGAGGGGTGGTGCATGGGGGTATGCTGTAGAAATAGCCAGGAAGTAGGTGTGCTTTTCTTTCTATTCCCTTCTCTCTTTTAATTTTGGGACATTTCCCCCGCACCCACATCCTATACCCTGGGTAAGCCTCCCCAATTTCACCCTACCACTGTCCCAGGTGCAAAAATTATTAGCTCTGGTTCTACCTTTGTTCCACATGTTCTGGTGGCTTCCTTGAGCTTACCTCTTGCTAGAGAGTGCAAGGTGGAGCTGCTTTATCATAGTAATCTAATACTACCCATATAGATGGTGAGTAAATGTGTAACTGCCCTTCCACCTGGCTCTGAGGAAAGGAAGTGCCTCTAAGAGAAACATATTATAGTGGAGGGTGGGCAGCCTACCCAGGGAAGTCCTGTCAGGTAACATTGCTAAGTCACTAGTCATAGTCTGGCAGGTCAGTACAGACTGCTGGGACCGATAAATTGCATGAGAAGTTCCCAAAGAAAATGGCTCTGTGCCACTTACTGTGTATGCCCGACACCCAGAACAATGTAGTACAGTGGAAAGAGCAGTGGGTCAGAGAGGAGACCTAGCAGGCAACTACCTTCACAATCTTGGGTCCAGCATGTCTCTCCCTATAAAATGAGGGGGTGGGTCCTTTCTCTCCTATCACTCAGGGATTCCATAAAGGCACTTATAATATTCTCACCAGTTAAGCTAACCTCTGGTCCTCTTCCAGTAAACAAGAGATTGATCATAAATTTAGAGCTGAAAGAGACTGCAGAGGTGATCTCAACTAAATCCCTCATTAGACTAAGGGGGAAAATGAGGCCCAAAGAAGTTAATTGATTTTCCTAAGATTGAATAGGCAATAGAGCCAGGATTGGAACTGGGGTTTTCTGATCTAAACCTAACATTTAAAAAAAACTAAATAAATTTTATTGATATCTTCTGTTTTTATATAACTTAAATTCCCCCCCTTTAGCCCTCTCCCATCCCAGAGAGCGACTCCTTATAACAAAGAAATTTTTAAAATTTATAAACAAAGAAAAGAAGAAGAAAATAAGAATTCAGTAAGACTGATCAATTGAAACCAATATACAATATTAAAAAAATATAACATATATGCAATGTTCCACACACCCTTGGACACCCCACCCCCCACTTCAGCAAAAGAGTGGGGGATGAAGTCCTCTCATATCTATTCTTTAGAACCATGATTGGTTTTTGTAATTTTGCAACATTCATTTTTAAAAATAAATTATATTGATATATTTTGTTTTTTACATCACCAAAATTTCTCCCAGTATCTTTCCCATTCTCCCTCCCAGAGAACTGTCACAAATAACAATATTTTTAGAGAAAGTAAAGGAAGAAAAAAAATCAGCACAACTGATTGCTGCATTGAAAAAATCTGAAAATATATGCAATGTATCCCCCTAGGGACCGCCTCCTTTTTCCAAGGAGTGTGTATGTGTATGTGTGTGGGGGTGGGGGTGGGGCTTCTCACATCTCTTCCTTGGAACAATGCCTATTCTTTGTAATTTTGCAACATTCATTTTTTATTACCTTGAGGTTGTTCTTTCTATTTACATTGTTGTAGTTACTGTACATATTGTCTTCTTGGCCCTGCTTCCTTTACTCTGCATCAGTTCATGGACATCTTTTCATACATCTCTGTATTCATGCCACACACCATTTCTTACAACACAGTAATATTCCATTACACTCACGTGCCACAATTTGGTTAGCCATTCTCCAGCCGATGGCCATCTACTTTGTTTCTGGTTCTTTGGGAACACAAAAAGTACTCTGAACACTTTTTCACTTGTCCCAAAAAGTGCTGCTTTAAACAAGTTGTTGCATATGGAGCCCTTCTTCACATACCAGAGATGTTGGGAAGGTAGAACTAAGACTTGGCAACAGACTCTCACAGTTTCTCGAAATTCAGAAAGTTAGAAATTGTAGAGGAAAGTCTCCTGGGGCACTTGAGAACAAGTTAAATCAGTGAATGCAGTGGGAGATAAGGAAATGAAATGACGAGCTGGGTGAGCCTGGGCAAGTCACTTAACCTCAATTGCCTCAAAAAAAAAAAGAGAAAAAAAAAAGAAAGAAAGAAAGAAATTAAATTAAATTAAAGGGTTCATAGAAGGCTTCTTAAGCTTTTTCCAGTTCTACCATTTTCTGCTCTCTTCCTGCACAATTCTGCCTCTACATAGAAAAGAACCATAGGGATTTAAAGCTGAAAGGTCCCCTTAGCCCACACAACATTGAATGTTGGAGCTTGAAGGTCATCTAGTCCAACCCCTTCATTTTCTTTTTTTAGGCAATTGAGGTTAAGTGACTTGCCCAAGGTCACACAGCTAGTAAGTGTCAAGTGTTTGGTCTGAGGCTGAATTTGAACTCGTGTCCTCCTGACTTCAGGGGCAGTGCTCTATCCACTGCGCCACCTAGCTTCCCCTAACCCCTTCATTTTCCAGATGAAGACCATCAGTCCCAGAAAACAAAGTGATTTCTCCAAGGTCCCCTAGCAAGTTAAGGGCATAGTATGAACTAGACCTGAGGTCTCATTACTCCATGTTCTCTCCACTACAGGCTACAAAGTAGGATCATAGAATATTAGAACTGGAAGGATTCTTAGAGATCATCTGTTCCAACCTCCTTATTTTACAGGGAAGCATATGAAATCTAACCCAGAAACGGGAAGTGACTTTCCTAAGGTCACACAGAAAAATAGTCAATAACAGAACCTCGATTCAAAGATAGGTTTTATGACTGTAGTTAAAAGTGATCTTTCACTATATCCTAATAATTAACTATCCAAATAAAATGAATTTGTGAAGAAAAGCCCAAGTCACGAAAACATTTGTCTCCCAAACATTTCCCCCATACTTCTGAGGTCAGTGTGAGTAAACACTAGATTAGGTTCTTTTAAGGTGCTTAAGAGACCCAAGTTGTCATTATGTGTAGACTGAAGCGACACAGAAGGTGCTTAATAAATGCTTGTTGATTGAATCAGTCTCTCTGATTCAAGACTTTTTTTTTAAATTAAAGAATAAGTTTTATTCGTGCTTTTCATTTTTTATATTCACTGTCATTCAAAGGTATGAAAGCTAACATACATGCACACAACATTAAGACTTCTCTTTAACAAAAGAAAAAGAGGGAAAACCCAACCTTTATAATACCCTATTCTAATTGTATGTGCAACATTCTATACCTACAGTCCCCTGCCTCCACTCACTGCTCTGCTGAGAGGAAGGGCTTCTTTTTCATTATCTGTTTGCTTGGATCTTTTGTCAATATAATTACTCAGAGTTAACTTCCTTTAGAATTCAATGGTGCCCGTCTGGTTTTACTTGTTTCTCCCTCCATCACTCTTCTCACATTTCCCTGAGTTCCTCCTGGTGACCATTTCTTACTACATAATAGTATTTCAGTGGAGAGGCAGTGTTTGGCTTTCAGAGCCAAGAAAACCTGAGTCCTGACTGACATACATATTGTCTAACTCTCATCAAGTGACTTAATCTCTCAGTATTCCAGACAACTCTTAGACCATAAGATGCAGAACCATCACCTGTTTGCACTGGTAAAGGAAATTTCCTTACCAGGACTTCCCTATCCTGAAGAAATCAGGGTCCAGCCCCTTAAAAAAACTATATTCCATTTCAAATGTTTTACATGATGGCATATGTATACAGATTGCTTATTGTCTCAGGGAGGAGTTGAAGGGAGGGAGGTGGGAATTTGGAACTCAAAATTTTTAAAAATTTCTTAAAATGAATATTAAAATTGTTTTATATGTAATTGGGGAAAAATAAAATGTTATTTTAAACTATATACATATAGATTTCATTTCATTAATACACTACAGTTTGTTTAGCCTTTCCATAATCAATGAGCACTCACTTTGTCTCCAATTCTTTGCTACCACCAAAATGCTGCTTTCTTTTTCTCCCCTGAACATTGAAAGTCTCTTTTTTAAAGTCTTCCTTTACTTATGTAAAGATCATTTTGAAGTTTTATTTACATAAGTCCCTAGTGTGTCTTGGTAGACTTAATTTCTAGATATCATATACATGTTGTAGTTATTTTTGAATGGAATTTCTTTTTCTATCATTTCTTCCTGACCGTTGTTAGAAGTAAATGAAATACTAACTATGTTGGTGAATTTATTTTCTATCCTTCTAATTTATTGAAATTATTAATCATCTGAATTAATTTTTGCTGATTCTCTGAGGTACAAGGCTTATTTTGTGTGTTCCCAGAAGTCATACTGAAATATGTAGGAAGCATGGACTGTATAAATTTGTAAAAATGGCTACAGTAGAAATGGACCGATTTAGTACCTGCAATACAATTTTATTCTGTAAACTAGGTTGGATCTATAAGGGGGAAAAGAAATAGGTCTTTTGAAATTACTAAGTTAAATGTGGAAATATGTTTTACATGACTTCCTATATATAATGGATCTCATAATTCTTGCCTTTTCGATGGGTATGAGAGTATGTGAAAGAGGAAGAGAATTTGGAACTGAGAATTTTAAAAAAAAAAGAAATTACTTAGCTAACTGATAACCACCCACTTTGTCAATATTGAGTCTTGCTCTATAAAAGACAACAACAGTCTCCCAGATTGGACACATCATCAAGCAAGCCTGTTTGTGCAAAGAAGGGAAGTCAAGAACATAGACAAGATGTCAGAACTGGAAACGGCCATGGGAATGCTCATTGATGTCTTTGACCGGTATGCAGGGACTGACGGTAATAAAGAGACTCTCACTAAAGGGGAACTAAAGACACTCATGGAAAAAGAGTTCCCAAACTTTGTTAAGGTAAGAGTTTATTACTGAGCTCCCATAGAGTAAGTGCACTTGGAGTCAGGAGAGCTGGTTTCTAATCCCAGATTTGCCATTAATTATTTGTATAACATATCAGCTTTTCCGGGTCTCAGCTTCTTCATCAGTAAAATGGGTTGGGGAAGGGAGGTTGAGGGGAAGGAGTAGTGGAGGGTGAGAAATAAGTTTCTAATTTCCCTTCCATCTCTATGTCTCTGATTCTATGATATTCTATAAAATTGATCACTCCTGACCAGGGAAGATATGCTTCAAGAATTGTATTAGTTACATCTCTCATTTTAAAAAATTGTTTAATGATTTACAAAGCTTCTTTTCCATGACAATAAGACAATAGACTCACTTTGAGTAAGTTTGAAAGTGCTTTATAAAAGCAAAGTTCCTATTGTTACTGCTAAAATTATTCATATTATTATCCCCATTTTACAGATGAAGAAACTGAAGAGCAATAAAGTTAAGACTTCTCTAAGGTCCCGTTGCTAATAAGTGGCAGAGTCAGAATTAGAACCCATATCTTTCTGACTATAAGTCCAGGGCTCCACAGGCATTCTCCAATTTAAACAAAATGTTGGCTGTTTTGAATAGGATAGAAAAGAGTACATTGAAAAAAAAATGACCCATATAGTATACCTGGCCATCTGAGTAAAAGACATAGTGGAGCTGATCAATATTACCGAAACAGGTCATCAAGATAACCCAAAACCAGCTTGTTTTAATGAACTCTGTACATCTTGTTAAAATATAGTCAGTACTATGGACATATGTTTTCATGATCACACATGTATAACCTATATCTCAGGGATCTCAGGGAGGGCTGTTGGGAGGGAGGGGAAGAATTTGGAACTCAATTTTACATGTTTTTACATGTAATTGGGAATGAAAATAAAATATTATTTTAAAAAATGTAGCCAAGACAAAAATGACCTTACTTAGAGAATTTTTAGTCCAATCCCCTCATTTTATAATGCAGGAAATTGCAAGCCAGAGTGATAGTCATTTTTTCAAGGTTATACAGAAAGTGTTTGAGATGGATGGGTCACCCAAGGCTAACTTTCTGAATCTAGCTTTACACTATACTATTCTGTCTAAAAGGAAATTTAGATGTACACTGGACTTTCAAGTGTGATATTCAAGTAAGCTCTTATTTTTAATAATAATAATACATAGAACCAAAGAATGTTAGAGCTTAAAGGGATCTTGGAGCCCACAGAGTCAGAGCAGAAGGGACCTCAGGACATTGAATATCACAGTCAAAGAGATTTGTTAAAATGGCTACAGAAGGGGGCAGCTAAGTGGTGCAGTGGATAGAGCACGGCCCTGAAATCAGGAGGACCTGAGTTCAAATCCATCCTCAGACCAAATGCTTGACACTTACTAGCTGTGTGACCCTGGGCAAGTCACTTAACCCCAATTGCCTAAAAATAAAAAATACTTAAAATGGCTACAGTAGAAATGGACTGATTCAGTTCCTAGAACAGAATTTTATTCTATACTCTAGGAAATCTTACATAGAATGTCAGAACTAGACAACTAGATCCTAGAACATAGAATGTCAGAATTCAAAGGAAGCTTGGACATCATCCAGAGGTGGGGATCTAGACTGAGTTCCTCAATTTACAGATGAGGAAACTGAGGCCCCCACTATGGGAAATGACTTTTATCCAAGCAAGCTATTTGGCAGAGCTGTGCCTTGAACCCTGGTCTTCTGACATCACTGAACCTTCTACTGTACTTAATTTTTTAAAACTTTTTTTCCACTTTGTAAGTTACCTAGCATGTCCATTTTAACTTCCTGGATACAAATACTATGGAAGAAAAGGAGTCCCCAGCATGGTCTGTCCCAATTTTCCCTTTCTCCACTCCCCATGGGAAGGGTTGCTCTCCTTTGGAATAGTCCCTTTGTCTCTGGTAACATATTCAAGCATCCTGACAGCATTCTTTCTTTCCTGTCTTCAGCTCAGGCTGCTTTAGTTCTGGGAGCTGCTATTAGTCACCCCGGCTGGCCGCTTCAATTTGATTACTGCCATGGCTCCAACTAGCTTTCATTCTCATATGTCCCTGGGGATTGTATTTAGAGGTAACAACATAATATAGTATTATCTCCATAACCTGGGATACACACATGCATTCACATCTACATCATGCTAAGTACCCTTATTAAACAATGCTGCTCTGCCCTAGTCTCCATTTGCACTTACTGTATTATTTCCAGGCTCCTGGCTTTTGGATGATTTTCACCACTTTGGCATTTTTATTCTATCTTGTGCACATTCCTTACCATATTCCCATGAGTGGCCAAGGTCATCTGATCATAGATTTGGAGCTGGAAGGGGCCTTGCAGGTCATTTAGTGCAATTGCCTCAATTTACAGATAAGGAAACTGCGGTCTGTAGATAGCACAATAGGTTATATAGGCAGTACATGCATTATCATCTCCATTTTATGACTGAGGAAACTGAGGTTCAGATTGGTGAATTAATTTGGCAAAGGTCACATAGCTAGGAAGGACAGCACTACCATTTGAACCCATCTCCCGACTCCAACTCCAGTGCTTTCCCCACTGCACCATGTTAAGAAGATAGTACTAAAAGAATCATATGGAATTTTAAAGCCAGAAGTTTAGAATTCATAGAATTATAAGATTTAGTGCTGAGAATTAATTTTTTTGAGATCATCTAGTCCCACCCTTTCATTTTAAAGATGAGAAGACTGAGAATCAGAAAGCTGAAGTGATTTGCCTGAAGTCACACAGTTGCTGACAGCCAAAACTAAAACTCAGGTATCCCAATAGAGTAATAATAATAACTAATTTTTTACATTGATAGAAACTGGACCTGCAATTTCATTGATATAAGGAAGTTCCTCCACTAATACAGGTAGATCAACACTTTTCCTGCAACTTGTAGTCTTAGAGAGTTGCCTAGAGCACTGAGAGGCTGTCTTGTCCACAGAAGATCCAATAAATCTAATCCAATAAATATTTATTAAGCACCTACTATGTGCCAGGAACTGTGCTAAATTGGCATGAGCTAAAGGCAAGACCCGAACCCACATCTTCCTGATCTCTACATCATGCTGCCTCCTGACACCTGTATAACATTTTCAATTTAACAAATCTTTATTGAGAACCTACCATGTGCTAGCCACTATGATAGGCAATGAGGAAACAAAGAGAAAAATGAAACTGTCCCTGACCTTACAGAGCTTACATTCTACCACAAGGAAACATGTGCACAAACAAGTAAATACAAAGTGTGGACATCATTATTGGTAGGGGAAGGGGAGTGGGGAGGAAGAGAATACAGGGCACTAAGAACAGGGGAGAATCCAGAAAGGCTTCATTTAGGAGACAGTCAGAGCTGTGCTTTGAAGGGATTTAGGGACTCCAAGAGGTGATGAGGAGGGAATGCATCCCAGACATGAGGAACCACCATTTTTTCAAAGGCCAGGAAATAGGAGATGGAATACCATTTACAGAAAACAGTTAACAGGCCAATTGGACTAGAATGTTGAGAGTATGAAGGGAAGAAATATGAAAGAAGACTAGACAGGAAGACTGGAGGATTTTGAGTGCCAAGCTAGAGCTTTAGATGCCAGGCTTTAACATTCGCCAAGAGATAGATAGATAGATAGATAGATAGATAGATAGATAGATAGATAGATAGATAGATAGATCATCTGAACTTTACAACAACCCTGTGAGGTAGGTCCTATGGTACATACCCTATCTTACACATAAGGAGAGCGAGATAAAAAAAAAAAAAGCCAATGTGACTTGCTCAGTTAATAAATGACAGAACCAAGGCTTGAAGGTAAATTTAATACACCTCCACTCAGTTGGCCATAGGTTATATTTCCTAATAAAGCCCTAGACCTAGGAGTTACTGGGATTTTTGTGTGGTTTTTGGTAGAGCCATCTCTAGCTCCAAGCGGAGTGAGGAGGACCCAATATCCTGCCTCTAGGCTCCTCTTCAGGTCCCCTCTAAGGAGCCAATGAAATAGATTGTTAAAAGATTACAGTTGAAAGAAACATGGTATCAAAGATATGATGAAAGACATCATTGGCTTTTTCTCTTGCCCTTTGTCTTCCTTGTCTGCATCTAACTCTGCTTACCCAATTCAAGCCTTGTTTTCATTGTTCTATGTCAATAGAATCTTCCATCAAGGCCTTTTTGGTAGCCAAAGCCACCTATGTGTTCATTCCTCTTCAGACTGCACTCCTCCCTCTCTTCCTGAACTATGTTTGCAGTGACCCCTCTCTGGGGACCCTCAGTCCCTCCACCCTTTCCAACTTTTTTTTATGTGTTGTCTTCTCCCTTTAGAAGGTAAGCTCTGTGAAGGTAGAGACTATCTTTCTTTCTACTTGTGTTTGGATTTCAAGCACTTTATACAGTACCAGGTGCATAGTTAATGTTAAATAAATGCTTGTTAACTTGACTTAACTTTTCATGTCTCAACTTGGGGTGGAGGAAACCCTGTGTTCCTGGTGCCTCTGAGGGAGAGGAATAGTTTTGGGAGGTCCTACCAAGTTGGAAAGCCTTTGGTAGTGAGCCTAGTGACAGACTCCTTGAGGACCAGACTTAGGCAAATGCAGACACTCATCACCAGATAGGCTGCAGGAAAATGAATTTTTGTTTGTTTTTTACCTATAATCCTCAAAGAACATCTACTAAGCCTGAAACAGGCTGTGGCTCATGCTGGTGGAGGTAGACTCCACAAAAAATTACAGATCTTTGAAATTTTAAAGTCATGATGGATCCAGGGCCTGCCTCAATGGAGCTCGGGCTTCTCATTTCAGCATATCCTATCTCTTTCCTCTAAAATGCAGCTAAGATATTTTTAAAATATACTTAGAACAAACCAAGCAAGCATTTCTCAGCTTTTGTCCTCACCGGTGAAAATGTATCTTTTAATTTACTTCATAAAAATTATCAAATATTTCGATCCATTTTTCCCCCAGGTAGCTCCCGGTCCGCTGACATAATCGGTACATGTTATATGTCATTTGCACCATCTGCTGGTGATTTGCAAAATAGCCTCTTTGAATTTTCTGGACGTGGGTGGTGATCACATGTCCATTGCCGTATTGCAGTATTCTCCCGTGGAATTTTAGAATGTTAGCATTGAAAAGGGCTTTAGGACATAAGATGTCCAAACTGAAAGAGAATTTAGAACATAAAATATTAGAACTGCAAAGGACTTTAGAACAAAGAATCTTAGGGCTGGTAGAAGCCTTATCAATCAATGAATCAAGCATTTTTTAAGCCCCCACTGTATGCCAGCCACTATGCCAGGCTCTATGAATACACATACAACACTGAAGCAATCCCTGCCCTCAAGCACCTTAAATCCCTAAACTTAGAATATGGAACATAGATCATGAGAGCCAGAAAAGACCTTAGAACATAGAATGTTAGAACTGAAAGAGACCTTGGATATCAAATAGTCCCCCTGGAAAAACTGAGGTACAAATAAGTTTGTATGATGATTCAAATGCCTGGAAGGAAAAAAATGTAAGAGTTAAATACCTATGCTTAGTATTATTTTCTCATCGTTATTGAGTTTTATTCAGCCTATGGCACCAGGGAAAGTTCCTTTCTTTGGCTCTGTGGGGTGAGCTATTATCCAATAGTGCGTATGTTTCAGCCCAGCAGAGACTTATGAAGGTGGCATACCAAGGCATGAATGACCTCTAGCCTTGTGAATCCCTGTAGGACTTTTACTGTCTGTCCCTACCCACGTGGCTCTTAGAATATGCTCCCTTATGTTGTTATGATTCTCTTTATGTGCTCATCCTGTCTCCTTAACTAGAATGAATCTGCATGACCTTGGAGACGTCATCTCACCGCTAGTCCTTAGTTTCTTCTCAAAAATGATGAGACAATTTTTAACATCCCTTTTAACTCTACCATCCCTTGATCTTGTTCATTTTTCTTTTCTAAGAGCAAGAAAACTGGGGCTCAGGAATTCTGGCTGATTGACAATAAACAAATCACTTCCATTCACAGTTTCCTCATCTGTAAAATGAAAACATAATGTTTACATGACCTGTCTCACAGGACTGTTGAGAGGGAGGTACTTTGTAAATTGAAAGGAACTTTGGAAATAATAATAATAATTATTACTCAAATGTGTATAGTTTTTCAGGATTGACAGTTCTTCCCACACAACAAGTCTGCTAGGTAAGTGGCACAAAGTGGCAGGTTTCTATCATTTTGCAGGTGAGGAGACTAAAGATAATTATTACAGGAATGCCTAGAGAGACAAATGTGCCCTTGGTGACCCTGCCCTATCATCCGTGCATCCACCTCTTCTTTCTCTCTTTCAGAATGGGAAGAATAATGAGGTAGTTGATAAACTATTTGCGGACCTGGATAACAATGGGGATTCTCAAGTGGACTTCAATGAGTTCGTGGTCTTTGTGGCTGCCCTGACTTCTGCCTGTCATAAGTACTGTCACCAGAAAGGACCCAAGTGATTCTAGACCGGCCAACAACAGATGACAGAATCTTGCTGAATGGAATAATGCACTATTTAGAATTAAAAGGCTTTGTCTGATAACAACCCCCCACTTCCCCTGTTTTCTGTGTTTCTATTCTGCCGAATAACAGTTCGATGCTTTTGGTCTCAAATAAGCATGTTCATATTAATTCAGCCTCAAATTCAGTTTTTTTAAAATGTCATTTCATGCAATTTCTTTTTCAGGAAGGGACTTTAGAATGTGACCAAAAGCTAAAAAGCCATTAGAGATTTTTTTATAAAGTGGAAAAAACCATTAATAATATTAGTGATGATAACCTGAAGAGTGTAGAAAATGATTTTTTTTAATCTCTATCGAATTGGTATAAAATGTTTCTTCTTAAGATGGTACCCAAACTTGCAATGGGACCTTAGCCACGTCACTGAACTTCAGTTTCCTCCCCTATAAAAAACAAAACAAAGATTAAACTAGATCTGGAATTCTTTTCTTTTTTCTTTTTTTTTAATAGTTCAAAAAATTTATTTTTAGTTATTATTTTTAACATTCTTTTCTTTTTAAATTTTGAGTTCCAAATTCTGTCTTTCCATCCCATCCCCTCCACCACCCATTGAGAAGGCAAACTATAGGATATCAATTATACACGTGAAAGAAATAGTGCAAAACAAAATTCCAGATTAGACATTTTTTAAAAAAACAAAAAAAAAAGGAGAGAAAATTATCCTTCCATTTGTACTCAGATTCATCAATTCTCTCTCTGAAGGCAGATAGCATTTCTTCATCATGAGTCCTTTGGTATTGTCTTGGATCATTATATTGATTCAAGTCTTTCACAGTTGATCATCATTACAACATTGCTGTTACTGTGCACAATTAAATCCAGGAATATATGTGTGTGTTTATATATATATATATATATATATATACACATACATACATATATAATGTATATATTCTTTATATTTATTTATATATTAACGGTACTTAATTTTTTCCAATTACATGTAAAGAAAAATTTTAACATTCATTTTTTTAAAAAAAATTGAGTTCCAAATTTTCTCCCTCCTTCTCTTACCACTCCCTCCCTAAGATGGTAAGCAATTTGTAGATCTTGGATTCTTAACCTGGGGTATGTTACTTTGTTTCTTAAATTATCGTAGTAGTAGTATTTCACTATAATTGGTTTCCTTTCTTCTAATATGTGTTTGGTTTTATGCATTTAAGAACATTATTCTAAGAAGAGTTCCATAGGCTTCACCAGACTTCCAAAGGGGTCTACAACACAAAGTTAAGAACTCTTGGCCTAGGTATGTTGTATACTGGTAAATGTTTAACAACCAGCTCTCCAAGAAAAAAATGTACCATGACACACTTTTAGGTTTAATCTGAATTATTAAAATTTTCTTATCACTTCCTGAAGTCTAGACAATTAACATAACAACTCAAGCCCCGATTTGTAGTTTGTTGATTTCAGAGATGTAAATGCTCACACTGAAATTTTAACAACTAGCTCTCTGGGGCCATTCTAAGCTGCCTCCAGCACATCTCTGGGCTAGGTGCTTTCCACTCTAAACTTAAAATCAGGCAACTGTAGTACATATGTTTAATGATGATACAATCTTTACCCACCAGGGGGTGATGTGGCTGTGGGATGAGGTGGTTTCTCTCTGACTCTGGGTGAACAACTGTTCTCCATGACCTGTAACCTCTTATCTAAGTACAACTTTTAACATGTGGCTCAACCCTAAAAACAAACAAGTCTTTCTTTGAAGAAGACACTTTCTCTTTCCCTGACTGTCTCTTCCTTCCTCGTTTAGCTCAACTCACTCTCTCATTATTGCTCTCTGGGTGGTGGTTGTTGTTGTTAATGAAGATCCTTCCTTCTCCAAGGACTTAGGGCTGGAAGGGATCTTACAGATAATCCACCTCGACACTCTTATTTTATAGAAAGTAAGGTCATGCAACTATTCAATGGCAGAATCAAAATGAGAAGATGCCTTCCAGCTCCAGAGCTGTGATCTCATGGTTTAAGGAAACGAGGTCTCCTGACTCTCAAGCTAGTACAGTTCGTACCCCAGGGATGTGCTGGAGCTGGCTCATATATCTGGGTGGCTAGTCGTTAAATTTTCAATTTGAGCAATTACACCTTGGAAATCGGCAAATGCTACAAATCAGGGCTTGATTTATTGTTTTGTTGGTTGTCTAAACTTAAGAAAGTGACAGATGAAGTGCTAATAATGCAGATTAAACTAAAAAGTGTACAATGGGTACTTATTATTATTTTTTTTTGGAGAACCAGGTGTTAACATTTATCAGCACCTCCTCCTCCCCCCACATCACTCTGCATCTGTTGACAAATTCACCCTTCACAGATTGATTCTTTTGAGTAGGCAACGAGGCAATCTTTTGTCTCAATCCTTACCTAGCCTTAAATCACTGAACGGGTGTTGCCTCTGAGACCTGGGAAAGACTAGCTTAAAAAGGCCAAAGTCTCCTACTGCATCCTAGGTCATTGCCAGTTGTTCTGATCTATGTCTTGCCACTGGACTCAGATGACTCTGGAAGAGAGAGTGAGGCTGATGACTTTGCACAGCTCTGCCTCACTTAAATCCAATTCACTTGACAGTCAAGATGTCACCCTCATGTCACGGGTCCTCTTAGAAAATGCAGGATGAACAACAAACAACAACAAGTTCACTGGTCATTGATCATCTTCAAGTCAGGAAGATGATTATCTACAATAAAATATAAAATAGCTCTATGTTTGAATGTAGGAAAATGGACAATGAGTTTGGGAAACCCCTCATAAACCTTATTTGGAGGCCTTGTATAACAGTGATGGGCGACTTCAGTGATTTGGCCATGGGCTGGGACATCTTGCTAACTCAACTAACCAACCAGCAGCTGATCAATTCTGGACTTGATTTAATGCTTATTTAATTTTTTAGAAATTTTTTATTAACTAATTTTGATTTATTAACAATCACTTCCATAAGCTTTTGAATTTAAAATTTTTCTCCCCCTCCCTCCTCACCTCCCTCCCCAAGACAGTGTGCAATCTGACATAGGCTATACATATACATTGCTATTAAACATATTTTCACATTAGTGATGTTGTAAGTAAGAATTAGAACCAATAGGAGGAACCACCAGACAGAGGAAACAAAACACAACAGAAGAAAAAAATAGCAAACAGTATACTTCGATCTACATGCAAACTCTATAGTTCTTTCTTTGGATGTGGATAGCATTTTCTATCATGAGGCCTTTGGAGATGTCTTAGATCCTTGTATTGCTGAGAAGGGCTAAGTCTATCAATATTAGTCATTGCACAATGTGGCTGTTACTGCATACAACATTTTCCTGGTTCTGCTCACTTCACTCAGCGTCAGACCATACAAGTCTTTCCAGGTTTTTCTGAAGTCTGCCTGTTCACCATTTCTTATAGCACAATAGTATTCCATTTCATTCATATACCACAACTTGTTCAGTCATTCCCCAATTGATGGGCATCCTCTCCATTTCCAATTCCTTGCCACCACAAAAAGAGCTACTATAAATATTTTTGTACATGTGGGTCCTTTTCCCAATTGTATGATCTCTTTGGGATACAGCCCTAGAAGTGCTATTGCTGGGTCAAAGCCCTTTGGACATAGTTCCAAATTGCTCTCTAAAATGATTGGATCATTTCACAACTCCACCAACAATGCACCAGCGCTCCAATTTTCCCACATCTTCTCCAACATTTATCATTTTCCTGTTTTGTCACATTGGCCAATCTGTCATTTTATTTTTTAAAAGGTGGAGGAGGTTCAACATCAAGGCTGCTATTCTGGACCTGATCCTGAAACCGGAAACTTGGGAGAAAGTGACCCTGAAATTTCAGGGTTTTTGATTTAAAAAGAAAAAAACCTCCTCCATAGATAAAAGATAGATAAAATATGATATACATATTAAATGTGGAGTAAATCACTTTTTAAGGGTTTAGAGTAAAATTCCATAGGGCTCCATAGCCTAAAAACCTATAGCAAAAGTTGGCCAGAGAGGACTATAAGACACCCTCAAGAGTGAAATTCTGACGATGCAGCACAAGCGACTCCAATAAGTGAAATGAGGCTCATCTAAAAAGACCAATGTGGCCTCATCTGTTGGACTTTTCAAGTCCTTCCCTATCCAGCTTCCAGCCTGTCTTTCTAGGCTTGTTGCATATTACTCCCTTTCAGACATTATTTCCAGCCTAATGGCTTTTTACCATTCACACTTTTCTTTTTTCCCATCTCTGTACCTTTGCAGCCTGTCCCCCATCTTACTGAATGGCTATCTTCCTTCAAACTTCAATTCAGTGACTACCTCCTTTAGGAAGCTTCTCTTGATCCCACACTTCATAGTGCCCTTCCCACCATGGTATGTATTTTCTATTTAACTTAGTTTATTAAACCTGCTGTTTTCCCCTAATAGAATGTAAGGTCCTTGAGAGCAAAGACTTTGTTTCTGTCTTTGTATGCCAAGCACCAAGCATAGGACCTGGAACATATGAGGCATTTAAGAAATACTTGCTAAATTGAATGTACAGGGACTACATTAATCAAGTTGGATTTATTAAAGATGAGTACAGGAGGGACTAGATTAATCAAGTTGGATTTTAAAAAGACAAGTACAGGAGATGCAAACAAGGGTGGATAATTTAGTACAGGTACAGTAGAGTGTCATGGTTCCGTGAACATAATTTTTGGTGCACTAAATAAAGCACAGAGGGCTGAGAATTCTGTTGAAGGCTAAGGACAACAGAAGAGACTTTAAAAATTATGTTGGCGGAAAGAGATAATAGACGAAGGGAAATAGGCTGAACTATTTAACTCCAAGTTTGCTACTGTGTTTCCTAACAAGGAGAAAGAGCTTCACACTTGGAAGCACACAGAAAACATGTTTATCAGGGGAAAGAAACCTAAGATAAACACAGAGATTGTAAGAAAGTAACTTTTGTCCTCATTGAATTAAAAGTTAACAGCCCCAGATAAAGTAAATATTGAGAATACTGAAAAATCTGGTGCATATGAATGCTAAGCTGCTATTATTCAGTCACTAA